AGGGTTTAGGGTTTAGGGTTTAGGGTTTAGGGTTTAGGGTTTAGGGTTTAGGGTTTACGGCAACAAGCAGGTGGTAGACGCAGTCCAAGAAAGGAAGAGACACGACTTCGCCTTTGGTCAGCGCCGCGTAGCCCCGCAGGGCCATTTCCAGCCTAGCCCACAAACCCTAAACCCTAAACCCTAAACCCTAAACCCTAAACCCCAAGGCGGAGATGAGCTGCAGCGCAAACCCTAGACCCCCTATCCCTGCGTGGCACGGCGACTTGCGCGCTGAGTGCCCAAGCGCCTACGGCTCAGGGTTTAGGGTTTAGGGTTTAGGGTTTAGGGTTTAGGGTTTACAGGGCCTTGGGGTTGCTGATTTCCAAAAACTCCGTTTCGAGGGGCTGCAGCTGCACGTAAGTCCCCTTCGGCAAAGAGACATCCGAAACACTAACAAGTCCCCCCTCTTCGAGCTGGAGGTTTTGCATCATCTGCGAGCAAACCCTAAACCCTAAACCCTAAACCCTAAACCCTAAACCCTAGGCCCCACGCGGCAGTTCGCGGGGCTGCGGAGCAGACCCGCAACGCAGCCCAAACCCTAAACCCTCAACCCTCCGCAGCAGCAGCAAACCACGAATAGACGGACGCAGACTCTGCCGGACTTGGCTGCTAGGGTTTAGGGTTTAGGGTTTGGGGTTTAGGGTTTGGGGGTTTAGGGGTTTGGGGTTTAGGGTTTGGGGTTTACCCAGTAGGGCATGTAGCACGTGCCTTCCTCCGACACGAACTCCAACACCCCGCAGTGGGTCAGTTTGTCCTGCGCACATCCCAAAACCCTAAACCCTAAACCCTGAACCCTAAACCCTAAACCCTAGTTCTCAGAGATTACAGGATTCAGCCTTCCAGGGTTAGCGACGAGGATCCTGCGTGCCTGGCCCAGGGTTTACGATATGAAGTTTAGGGTCTGCGGTCTAGGGTTTAGGGCCTAGGGTTTAGGACCTAGGGTTTAGGGTTTAGGGTTTAGGGTTTGCGCACCTTAGCAGTGTTGCAAATGCGGAAGTGCATCGGCCAGGATATGTGCAGACGCGCGAGCGCGTGAAGAGCCGACGGCGGCAGCAAGACTGCAAAAACCCCAAACCCTAAACCCTAAACCCTAAACCCTAAACCCTAAACCCTCAGCCCTAAACCCCCAGCCCTGCTCCCGTATCCGTCAGCGCAAATTTCCCCCTCAAGCCCTGAATGCTGTTCTCAGTGTGCCCAGGGGCCTCTGCGTGCGCCTGCTGCCCCTTAGGGTTTTGGGTTTAGGGTTTAGGGTTTAGGGTTTAGGGTTTACTTTTGTTGCCGCTCTCGAGGTGGTCCTTTGCAGCAAACGAAACGGGATAAGCTGTGTAAGTGGCATTAAACCCTTCTCTTGCTTCTTCGCCGCCTCCGCCCCAGAAATTGGCCACGCTGCGGCCCAGGTCCCACTGCGGCGCAAACCCTAATTTAGGGTTTAGGGTTTACGGGCAGCCCTCTGCAGCGCGAAGCCCCCCGAACCTCGAAACTGCTCCCCTGCAACTACCCCTAGGGGTTGGCGCTACGGGCTAGGGTTTAGGGTTTAGGGTTTACGGAGAGGGGGAAGACGCACCATGTTCGCAGCACACGAGGCCCAATAAACCCTAAACCCTAAACCCTAAACCCTCAGCCCTACACCCTGCAGGGGGAGGAATCTTCTGTCTCCCAGTGACAAGTGCAACGCGGCTCCGCCGTTGCTGCTGCTGCTGCAGCTCGTGCGGCCGCAGAAGTTGTACTTGCAGCTGCTGCTGCTACTACTGCCGCTGCTGCTGCTGCTGTCGCTGCTGCTGCAGCTGTTGCTGCTGCTCTTGCTGCGTATGCTATTTCCTGCTGCTGCTGCTGCTGCGTAATCGTTCACGCAGTATGCGTGGCCTCCACTGAGCACGTTGCTGCTGCTTCTGCGGCGGCTGCGGCTGCGGCTGCTGCTGCTGCTGCTGCTGCTGCTACTGCTGCTGCTGCTGCTGGATATATGTTTTAGGGACAAAAGAAATACAAGTTGAGTCAAAAGAATTCCAGCTTGTTGCATGCTGTCGTTTTACGGTGGCTTTGTGCTGTAGCTGCCGCTGCTGCTGCTGCAGCAAAGCAGTAGCAGCGGCTG